TACCTCTGACCTTGCCTTTACAAAATCTGCTTCACAACATCATCTGATGTGAGCAAAAATGAAGTTCCTTGTGTAGCAGAACACCATTTTCATGCAGCATGGATGAGAATGCTGTTATCTCATTTAAATAATACCTCTTAATAAGATGCTTTCTGAGGAAGCAAGGGGAAAATAAAGTTTTGTCTGTAATATATTGGCCAAAGACTGTTTTCTGTATGATATATAGAAGCTGTAAGGAAATGCAATCTATTTGGAGTATTTTGTCAAGGTAAACAGATCTTAAGTTCTCTATTCAATTTTCAAAAAATTTCTGTAGCAACCTGGAGATACAAAATGTTTTCATAATAGTACTGATTAAAGAAATCTTAAAAAGGAAAAGATCCCCAACAAACTGAAAAGAGACCTGAAATTATTATTGCAAATGTAACTAACAATCAATTAATGATATCTGAAAAAAAATGTGCATAAAGGAAAGCAATATAGAAATGAAATAAAATACAGCTAATACACCCAAAATTGCAAAATTGTTTTAAGAAGAGCCTTTCTCATTACAGCTGAATGTGATTTTCCAGATAAAGGCATTGTAATATGACCCTGTGTGCTGTTCTGTGTGTACAATAAAGCAAGCAAAATTAATCCCTTCCCCTGATGACCTCTAGAAATGAAAACCCATTATAGTAATAATATTTGTACTTAGGCCTTGATGTTTTTGTGCTGAATCTGAATGCCATGAAATGATTGTATACAGTGGCTGATGAGGACACATGTACAGATAAATACATAAATAATCCTCTTTTATAGGTGCAAGGTGACTTTTTAGATCTGGTATGGAAACTAGTTGAAGCCTAATAAAACTGGTAATCATTTTCTTTACTGCTTAGGCCTGAATCTTATTATGCTGAAAGGTCTATTAGGAATGTTTCCCTTTTTAACATGGAATGTATGTAACTGGATATTGTGCACAATTTTCCTGTTTGTAAAACTTGAATTAAGTATTGAAATTTTTTGCCTAAGTTACTGGTTTTGGCATTTGCCAAAGTATATATGGTATCAAATACTATAATACATCTTTGTTACTAGTCTGTGGTTTGGTTAGCAAGCCCCACTTAAAGAGTAAAAGATCTTTTAAAAAACAGCATTATTTAGCTTGGAACAAGAATCAATACTCCATATGATATGGTAATGAAACACAGACTTTGCAACATATTGATGGACAGTGAGAAAGTGTGTGTGGTGAGAGGAGTGGGTGTATTTGTGTGCATGTTGGAGGGACCACAATAGTATTAATAGCCTGTAAAGGAGGTTTCTGACATTTGGTAAACACATGAGCACGACACAGAGCACAATAGGAGCTACAGTTCAGAAACAATGATACGTACATTACTCTGGAACGCCATTAAGTACGGGTAAGCTTTCTTCTGTCAGCATTTGTATTTTCACAGGATGTAGTAGCAAAGCTTTGGCTTTGTGGAAAAGGAGGTCTAAAAAGACATCCACATATTGTTTTACTATTTTCCTTTACTTTTAATGTTTATGTATCTTTCTGATGTGGGCTGTACATTCAAGGCAGTTCAGTTTTGCACAGTCTGGCTTTCTATTTGTCTAAGTGGTAATAAATTCCCATTGATCAGGGCTTAGTGGAAATTAGAACACCCTCCATGTGCCTCAGTCAGGGAGGCTGCTCCCAGCAGACTCTCACTCACATTAAAAGCCCACTGGAATGTTTCAGGATGGTTGGTGTTGCTGCGTATTACTTCACAATGTCAATACCAGAAGGCCTATTGATTTGGATAGCTTTCTTTAAATAAAAGAAATTCTCTAGTATTTGAAAATAGTAAAAATGGCCACCAGAGCAAAAAAACCACTATTTTTTTAGGTTGTCCATCAGCTTGGGAAAGCCTTGAATTATTATATATTATATACTGTATTTATTTTTCAAAACCACATAATATTTGTTGTGATTTCAATATATTAATTGCAAAGACTTGTAATTGTAGACTTCATCTAAAAAATAAAACTTGAATTTATTAATTAAGCTTTATTTTATATTAGGATTGGGATTTCTTTTAAGTGTGTTTAAAAAGGGTGACCTGAGAAGGATACAGATACATGCAGAGTATGTATCTGTCTTTCAGACCTGGTAGTACTCAATGCTGGTCAAGCAGCACTGGCAGAGAAGATATGGAGAGGTCTCTTTCTAATGCAAAGTTCCATATGGGTGTAAGCAGGCTGCTAAAAAGTAAGAGAGAGGAGATACAAAAGCACAAAAAGACAGATATGAATTGGAAGGCAATAAATGCTATGCTAATATCACATATATATACACATATATATATATACACGTATGAAACTCTTCTTAATTATTAAATACATAGTTCAGTTGCTTGAATCCATAGTATAAGGACTAGAAGTCAAGATCCATCTGCATGACATAAAGATTGCCAATAAAGAGTGTGTGATTTGGCTTCAGAGGTAGTTTATATTTTCTAAAGAGGTTAGGAGGGCTGCAACTCAGCTATGTATCTAACTGTGCCATATGTCACGATGAATATGTCTTCTCTACATCAGTAGTTTATAATCTAATAGTATTTCCAGTATTTTTACTCAGATTGTTTCCCACCCTTTTTTCTGGGTTCTGTTTTCCTCTGCCTGATCCTTCAGGATCCTTCCTGATATTTCCTCATACATACATGTGTAACTTACTGTCAGTGGTTGATGAAGCCTATTGAAGGATTAAAGCTCCTTGGGATGGGCAAGAATATGTGACTGCTTTTGCCTGGGCATTCCTCTTCAGCATTCTTCTGGATGTTTTCATATCCTAGTCCTACTCTATGAAAATAATGCAACTTTATCTTCTACCTTGAAATGTAGGGGGTTTTTTTCCAACAGCATCAGTTGTGCACAGCCAGTTAAATGAACACTTGTATTCAAATAACTTACTGATTATGCAAAACAACCCTGCCTGTTACGATACACATTCAATGCAGAAAATTGCTCTGTTATTTGGACTGCTTTTCCCGTCACAATGAAACATACATCTGCTTACAGCTAAAAGTCCAAGGGCCTGATTTAGTAAAAATTAGTGATCCATCAGATTGATGGGCAATCTGCACTCTTGGTGCCTTGAAATTTCTTGCATCAGTCACCAGATCATGATTTACTAATAGGGTTTCAGGGCTTGCAAAATAGCACAACTCTAACCACATATTAATATTTAATCTGGCATTTTAAGTGCACCTAACAAAAGACCCCAGAGCTGCTGACAGGACCCTAAATTGTGAATTCCTTTAAAAGGAATTGAGCATTTCCATAGTGGTTTCATGTGGAAATCTGAAACAAGAAGAAATACATGACTTAAGCCCTGCTCATGAACTTACAAGCTTGAATATATTTTCTTGAAAAACTGTTTATAGTCTGGGGTTATTTTGTAATCTAGCTTCATTATCATAAGACAGAATTTCCTTTGGCCATTTCACTGTCCATAGCTCGTGACTGCAGAGAAATTTGAAAGCTAATTTCTATACTGTGTGCAATTAAGCAGTCTGTTCTTTTATTGCTTAATCCACTTGGCAACTCTAGAAAGGTACTAAATGAGAGTAAAAATGTAGAAGTCACAAAGACCTCTTTATAGCCATGAAATTTAGTAATTGAATCTGCACAAACTTAGTAAATTAGGCCCTCTGTGTTTTGTATAGCATTTTTAGGTAGCCAAAATAGGAAAGAAGTTGAATTACATATTGACAATGTTTCTACCATTTCATAATTTAAATAGAGCAATAGAATGATTTAATAAGCAACTTCTGCTGCTGCTGTCAGATGAATATTCTAATTTTACAAAATGCATGTAGTGCGTGTCTAGAAAAGGGTTTATTGTTTTCTTCCATTTTCATATGCCATAATTTATGAAAGATGTTTCCAACACCACCTGTAATAACAGAATGTTTATTAGTGTGCAAATGAGGGTTATAAATGATGCTGCTTATCTATGGAACAAAACACAAAAGACAACTTATTAGCAAAAGACAAATTGCTCAGCAAATTTCAATGAGCTGCTATGTTTGTCATGAAAAAAACCTTTTATTTGCACAGATCAATGTTTTTATAATCCATTTAAAATAATATACTTGCCACTAGGTGGCTATTTCTGATCAGATCATTTTACCATTTTAATTACATTTTTAATATCCTGGCTGCATAAACAAAGATAAATTACAAGCCTTGCACAATCTGGCTGCTAGCTCAGCCACAATCTGTAATAATATCAGCTTTTGTTTGTGCCTCCTCTAATTAGATTCTGAAATCTAGGCTTTATCAATCAATAATTTTAATTTCAGAATTGCCTTTTGATCTTACATTTCATGTTTGTTTGCAGAAAATGATCAGTAGGACAAAGCTGATAATTTATGCAGAAACAATCTCTCAGCAGAGTTACAAGCGCATTCCTAGCCATCAACACAACCGGGCAGACTAAGCTTGACACAGGTCTAATTAGCATGCAGATATGTGTCGCCTCATTGGCAATTCAAATTGCTTTTTTATAATGTACCTCAAATTGTGCTACTCAAACATTGTATTTGATTTCCAAAGCCCCCTGGGCATCCCATAATGTCTCCCTTCATCCTGGGTACGAAGCATTTATTGAACAATCTGCTTCGACTCTGGCTATCTTTTCGGAAGCACCCAAACATCATAACCATGGGACCAGGTTTTCCTCCTCATCCGACAGCAACCTGTTCTCCTGCAGAGCGGCGGGTGCCACGTCCGTAGGTTCGGCGATGATATGTTACCTTGTGAGCTCCTGCTCCCACGGTGGCTGCTCTATAGAGGGCTTCATTCCTGTGCCACTCATCTAAAAAGGGGGAGGATGTCTACAGAGCACACATTAATATGCGGCACATAACCACGTCTCTGAATGCCAGCCTTCCATTCTTCATTAAACAAAATGGCTGGATTGCAGTGATTGTTTTCCCCTCCACGCGCGCGCGCGCACAGGCACACACACCACGCACGCAGGCACATACCCACACACCCCCCACACGCACTCTGGCTCGCTCCTTTCCTCCCTCATGCACACACACTCACTTTCATACACACACACATACACACACACACATGTAGTGTGTCGTTGTCGGTGCAGCGAGTTACGTGTGAAAAGTTATCTGCGGCATGCGTGACACACGGGGAGATTCCTGCCAACGTCAGGGCCCTTTTTTGCCATGCAGCAACAAGTGGCAGAATCAATGGTGTACAGTTATTCAGCAATGTAATTCATTTCACTGGCTTTGGCTCCCAGCCAGATCCGCCATCTGTCTCTTGCTCTCCCTCTCTCTCTCTCGCCTGAATTTGTCCTACATTTCGTAATGTTACGTGCTTGCCATCCTTATTCTATGTCAGAGGTACAGCACGAGCCTCACCCCCGTTCCGACGTGGAGTTCTGTGAGTTCGGTGGCACTTTGGATATTCCACTCCAGTGCCATAGGAAGAAAAGGGTAAGGAAAGAACAGAGGGATAGCTGCAAAGAGAATGGTGTTCTTCTATCTGAAAGCCAGTGCCTCCGCTTTTTATTTAAAGCATTGATATGGATCTGTCTCACATGGGAACTTTTCCTGCTTCGTTAGAGTATCTTCGTTTTCTTTATTGGATGCTGGCACTGTACGCCACTGCACAGCTCCGTGGAATGCCTGCTGTTGGATACTTGCAGATCCCTGCCACCAAGCAACCTCCTGCATTGGAAATCGGGTGACTACTCCAGGATCTTATGCGTGCTTGCTGTTTGAAGCTGCAGAAAAGTGAATAATCAATTAAGTATTGATTTCTTGTAAGATTTGGTAAATTTCAAAGGCAAGACAAAGAGGATGGCTTAAGGAAAGCACTGCAGGGACTTGGCGTAAATTAGACAACTAACAGCAGTGCAGAATAAAATAACACCTCAACTGAATATTTCCTTGGAAGAATTAGCACCAGCTATTGGAAGACGATGGTGGATTTAATCAAGACGGCAGGCACGCTTGAGTTTTAACCGTGAACCTGAAAGAGGAGCTAATTATAACCACCTTTTTATATGGAGCTAATTTGACTGAATGGATGCAAATGTGCTTTATTTATGGATGAAGAAGCAAGCCTTACAGCATTGACTTTGGGATCATCGCATATGCTAAGCTTTACAGCTTCTCTAAAAGTCAAGCCTACAGTACATTTTTATTTACTGAGAAGGTATTTATATGTAAGCATAAGCTAGCCGTACAAAAGATTCATCAGAACAATGAACTGTGTGGCACCGAGGATCTAATTATAATTTTGCAGCATTTCATGTTTTCTCTAATTTGATACTTTTCAACCCTTGCTTGTGATGGGCTATAAATGGGACAATAAATGTATGATTTAAACTATTGTGATTTTCACTGTATAGTTTATTAATCGTACTGTAGTTTTCTTAACGTGTTTTTGAATTATTCAGCAGTAATTTATAATGAAAGAAGCAGAAATGGTGGGGTGGTTTTAAATTCATTTATAATCTTCTCACAGATCTAAATGTACAGGTTCTACCAGCCGATGAGCTCTATAATTATGAAAGAATGTTAAAATTTTCAGATAAATGGGGCACTGACTTTACAATGGGCACAATATTGTATAATCAGTAAAAGGAGGATTGTTATGTTTTGACTCTGTGGAGAATGGTCTTGGTTAGTTAACTCCTTCTATGCTGATAATGGTAAGCAAATGTACCTTATATAAGAAAATAGGGGGAGAATGTAATGCACTGGTTTGATGTTTTGCTAGTCTGAAACCTTAGCATATTTTTTTTTCCATTTATTTCCATTTCTGTTACTTTTCTTTTCCCTATTTGCTTCTCTGGGTTTTGTCGAGGCTTTTTTTTCCTCCTGTCTTGCAATCTACATTCCCTGAGCAACCACAGGAACCAAGTTACATTAAGCTTCAACACAAAGACGATGTAAGAATAATGAATCCTCATTTGCATCGACATTTGTATTCAGATTTGCCAGGCTATAAACTTGGCAGATCAAGCGGAATATTAAGTAGAGGCTTCCATGGTAAATTGCGACTCTTGCAATTGCTGAGTTGTTTTTCCTATTTTTTGCATGCGTGTGTGTGTACGTGTGTGCGTACGTGTGTGCATGTGTGTGTGTGTGCATGTGTGTACATGTGTGTGCATGTGCATATCTGTAGTGGCAGGTAAAGACTCATGACTACTTGGTTTCTGAGAAGCACATTGGCCCTCTTTCTCTTTCAGTGCATGATGTCAGTTTATGCAAAATGAAGCAGGAATACACAAGCAGTAAAGCATTTTAGCTGAAGATACAGTGTGGCATATGAATTAAGTATTAACTCGCTTTTCTAGAGACTGTGTGAAAGAGTTCCTTAAACAAATAGATAAACACTATTGCAAAATCACACAGATCTTTTGCATCAGCTGGAGGTTTGATTTCACTGCGTGTAGAGCCCAAAGCAAAAATGCTGAGGTAGTGTTGAACCTACCTGCTGCATTATACTGTTTTATTTGTGGTGGTGCTGCATGTATGTATGTATGTTTCCATGAAAAACTTTGGCCTTGGTGCACCTACCATCAGCTTCTCTTCACTTTGGTTTGTTTGGACTGTCTCCAGCTTTACAGTAGTCTGTGCAAGAGCTAAGTTGGCCCTTCTCTTCCAGAGCTGGACATCAAACCTTTTTCTTTGCTGATACTTGATGAAGAAAAGGTAGTCCTACATGACCCGCTTCCTTCCTTCTCTTCCTGGATGAACCTCTTTCAGGATTAATAGCTGCAAAAGTGGAGCATTTACCTGATCATTCTCCTGTTTAACTTCGTGTTAATGAAAGTAATTTTTACATGAACTTTTGAGACTTTTTAAGTTATCTGTAGCATGTGCTATATTAGTTCAGAAGCAGTGAAAAAATGTTCAGTCAACAAGTGCTAAAAATGCTCCAAGACTCCCTTTTGCTATCCATACATTTTCAAGTCTTTGTCTCAGGACTTCAACAAAGTCCTCTGGAGAGAACTTAAAAGTGTCACTGAATTAGGAAATGCAGGAAATGATCAGGCATGCAGGAAATACTTCCAGTTTCTTCTTTTTGTGTGCATCTGCTTCCTACCACGTCCATAACCACAGACATAGCAAGAATGTGTACAGTACAGTCCACAATGTGTGTTTTCACAATTTATAGTTGGCTTCTATGTTCAAGAGGTACTATTATAGAGAAAAATCCTGGAATTTGTTCTAGTCCTTTCTAAACATGTTGAAGGACTGACTTTAAAAACTCAATCTCTTGATGGTCATTTAGCTAACCTATTGAAAAGCAAGTGCAATGCAATGGCTGAAACTGCTGTAAATAATATTATACTGTAAAAGTATTGGGTACAATTTCAGCAGAGAAAGCTGTATCAGCTTTGTTTTCTATAAAAATACACAGAACCCTAATACTGTTTGGATTTACTTTAGTTTTGTTTTTACACTATAATGGGATAATTGATCATGCAGGAAATGGTCTGTTGTGATGCAGTGTTCAGTAGGGGAGGAAGATGATCATCTCTTCATATAGAACAGCAACCTGTGGCAAGCAAAGGCAACCATGCATCATTACTTGTTTGCTATTTTTGAGAACTTATATAACTATATTTTTTTATTATTATGGGCAAAAACATGGAATATGGTGTTTCCTTCCTTTGAAAGAGTATTCTGAGCTAGATTCTGAAAATGGTGCTTAACACAGAGGGGAAAGGTAGAACTTACAAGGTATGTTTCCATACTTTGCTTCCTTATGTACATCATCCTGATGAAATTATATTAAACTTTATTGTTTGGGTTAATATATGTACCTCTCACTAACTGTTTTGAAAATTTACACTAAAAAAGTTTTAAAAGTGTCCTTTTCTGAGAAAGGAAAAACAAAACAATATCTCAATAGCTGTCATAAAAAAAAAAAAAAAATTGAAGTGAGATTTAAATTCCAAATTTATAAGGAATAACAGATTAATAGACTGCAATGTTTTTGTTAAACATTTGCAATAGTCATTCACTAAGTGAATCCTTTGAAAATTAATTCCTTTGAGGGTTTCTTTATATCCATAAAATGTTCCCCAATTTATTGCTCCCTGATTATGGAACCAAAAGAAATTAAAGATGAATGGAAAGTACTTTAAGCTCCAAAAAATTTATCATATTCACTGACAAAAAGATAAAAACACCTGGAGAAAAAAAAGGAAGGTGTGAAGCTAATATTTCCTGGAAGGAACTCCAATCTGTTGTCTGGCCTTTTATGTGTACAGTGTTGTTGAGTAAACAACAACATATACTGGAGTGGTATATATAACAAACTTTAGTGTGTAATGTGTATTCACCACCAGTGGACAGAGGGATGACAGGCAGGCAATCCAGGAATAGCATGTGGATGCTTTAGAGGGAAAACTCAAGGCCTGTTACAATACTTCAGTCTAGCTCATTGTGTTGCTAAAGAATTTGAGATTCTAAGAATACAGAGCTCGCTACATATAGTAAGGGTCAGATCTGCTGGCCCATAGCATTTAAAGGGAAGCTATAATTTTTTACCATTAGTCTTCTGATCAAAGATCCTTTTGTGTAACCTACTGTTATGATGAGTATCACTAAAGTGCTGTATTTCTTACTTGGTTGTCTGTTTCTCTCATTGGTGTGGACTTGATCTTGGGACTAAACTGTAAGTTTTCTGCATCTGCAGGAATGTAGTTTCTTAAATGGCATTTTTCAGACTACTTTGTGCATGAAACAGCATTTCTAACTTGAAGAATTTATCTGTTTCTCTTATATAGTCAGTAAACCATTTCTACTTCAAGTTTCTGTTTTTTGGTTTCCTAGACAGAAAGAAGACAGAAATTACTTTTAAAACAAGCAAATAGGTATATATGCAAACCAGAGAGTAGAAGAGGTAAAAGAGGTAACAGACTGAGACTCAAAAATGGCTTTTGCACTTTCTTTTTATAAATTATAAGACTTAAATCTTTCTTTTCAAGGTGAAACACCTGTTCTCTTGCTTTATGGTTCCTTCAGTAGTATAATCTTTTGGAGACACCAAATCTGTAATTTCTGTTCACATTGCACAATTTACAACTGCAGTCATTTACAGCTAACATAACAGCTAATTGAAAGTTTTGTGCAAGATTTTCTAGTTTTGCTAAAGACATTGGTGCAAAAGTGTAATCCACAGAAATGTGCTGTATGGCCTACTTTGGCATCCAACAAAAAGTTAATGTTTACCTTAATAAGCTAAATATGCTTTTAGTATCAAAAGCTTTCACATGGTAAAGCTTTTAATTGACAGAAATGAGTTAGCTATTTTCAATTTCAAGCTGTCCTTCAATTACTAGAGACAAAATTTTAAAAACTCATGGTTAGATAATGAATAAACCAGATATACACAAAATTCCCTCAGACCTGAGAACCCTTTTTGTGGTTTGTTCCTTATTGAATCTTATATCAAACCACACTGCAATCCCGTAATTTGTGTTTATATAGGATCTAGCATAATAAGATTCCAGTTCTGATCAGTATCATAACATAAATAATCCTAGAAATGCATTGTTTTAGACAATAGACAAGCTTTCCAGGGTGGCTGTTTATTTGCACAATCAACATTGTCTCATTTAGTTTAGTGGTTACTGCTTTTGGCAAAAAACTGTGGTCGTTAATTGTGCTTTGAATTTCATTGGGAATTTTGCTTAATGAGAGCAGTTTTTGATGCAAGGTCAGCTCTCTGAAAACCATACCAACCCACGCTTCACTATGGTCACAGTGAGTCATAAAACAAGCAACATGGAAATCACTTTACTCTGCACTGAACTTGGCCAGCTCTAGGGTTGAAATCAACACTTTGGTACCAAAACTCAACAACTGAGCACAGAGGAAGGCTGAGGAAAGGAAAATCTAATTTATGAATTTTAGGTTTAGTACAGTGCAGAGGTTAGAGATGGGAGAAAGTTTCTGTTGAATGGAAGAACAATACTGGATACTGATAGAACAAGTGCAAGAATATGGGAATTTAAACAGTATTTTTACTGTTAACCTGATGTCCATAGTTAAAGAAAAAACAAGAAGCAGAACACAAATTCCAGTCATTGCAACTTGCAATGTATAATTGGGAGTTTCTCCTGGACTCATAACTTAGGCAGGAACCAGCAATGAATCATGGCAAACAGAAGTGGTCCTAGACTGCAGAAGAGAAATCTAATGACACATCAGCTATTATTAATTTAGGGCTGCCTGCTCTCAGTAATGTAAGTGGGAGTTTTTCTGTGAACTACACTGGGAGCTGCATTTGGCCTTATTCGCAATACTCTGAAGTTACTTGGCTATACTATGCCACAGACATAAACATTGAATAGGGCATTTTAAATATCTGAAATATTCTGGAGCCATATTTAATTTAAAGTTTTTCCATCCTGACCTAAGCATTTTCTTATTAACAGTTAGTATAGAAGTATAGATCCTTGCAGTTTAGAAAAATATTTGATTTTTCTTTTAAAAAATTTAAGTTTTTGCATATGAATTGTCTGGATAAGAAATATCATTTCCTCTAACGCACTTACAAAATATAAATAAAATTCTGCAAAACAGAGGTTAAAAAGGATCCAGTTATGAAATGTGTCTTCTTCATCTTACTTTTTTTCAAATTTAAATTTAATTTTCCTTGCATTTGTGTCCCAGCAAGCTAGTAAACTCCCCCCCTGAAAATCCTTGCAGCCAGAATGATCCTAGGGAATGTTCAAGCCACAGTAAAAGCATGGGGATGAACTGGTATCCCCCTGATGCCTTTCAGACTCCTCTTGACAATTGACACACCAGTACACGAAAAGATAGAGGGGCAGGATGTGTTGAAGCTGTTGGTCAGAAATCTGAGTCTGGGGGGAAAAGGAGAAAAGTGAAGCACAGCAGACCCACGCATGTTGTTGCATCACAGAAAATGAAGTGGGGAGTCCTAGCAAAAGAAACTTCCCCCTGAAGTCTGCTTAGATACCACAGGTGGAAGGAGACAGCAGTCTTTTAGGAAAGAATTACGAAAATGCAAGACATACAGAGCTTTACGGTACAGGAAAAGATTATTTACATTGTTAAGCAGTGCAACTATTTTAGAAAGAAAAAGCACAAAGTACTTCCTGGAATCAACAACTGAGTTTTTTACTCTATTTCCACAGCTTCACAAATTTTCTCAGTACTACTTTGTATTGCACTTTCAGCAATATTCTGTATGATTTTTAAGCTCCTACCATCAAAATTGTTTTCCATTTCTCATACATAGTACTTCAAGAGCGCTTCTTCTTATACATAATGACTAGTACTGTCTGGACGACCCGCTGAAAATGTTTCAGAGTTTCTCAGCAGGATGAAAGTTAAAAACAGAAAGAAGTTGTAATCTTCTTGATTATTTGCAGGGAGATCACAAATTGAGGGAGAAGGTTATCTTGTTCTCAATAAAAATGAAGGATTGTGGAAAAAAAAAAAAAAATGCTTAGCATCCTGTGGGGGGTTTTAACAAGTTGCCCGCTAGTTTTATCTCAGTTACGGATTCCAATCTTTCGTTCAGTCATTTTGTTCCAAATGAGTCTAAGTTCTTGTGTTTCTTATTACTTGCATTTTCTTTCCAATTTATGTTTTAATCTATTTCTACAGCAGGACACTTCCAGATGTTTAGTTTTGTGAAGTGTTAAGCATCTTAAGCATATGCAGATCCTCTGACCTGAGCACCACATAGGCTTTGCTTAGAATACCTTAGTACTTTTTGAAGACTCAGTTAGTATATTCCATATAATTAAAAACAGAGTACAATGATGGTTTTGCTTTTATTGGCATTTTGCATTGAAGCAAAAATAAACCCCTAAATGAGCTAAATCCAAGATTTTGAGTCTGGCCAGATATTTGGGATTTTTTTTCAGGTTGGTAGTGCCCATTTAAGAGTCGTGACTGACAGCACTTTCAAAAACCAGGCCTCTGTCACAGCTGTGGAAAAGGGCAGTCTCCAAACTTTAACTTGCCTTTTTAAAAGATCAACTTCAGTCAATGCTTCATTTTAAACTTCATGTCTTATTTCTTTAGAAAAACAAACCATCATTCATGCTAATACCAAAAAACTCCCAAATCTTAAACTGGTTGCAGTGTTCATTTTCAGATGCTATATATTAATGCGTAATTACAATGAAGATTTCTACTACTCAGGCTGTTAATAGTGTAGGAAATGCAATGCAGAGAATTGTAGCAGAGACAGTTCTTATTTCTACCCCTGAGAGGGCAATGCTAGAGAGAGCTGGCTTCAGCAGTGTTATAGCCAATACAAAAGGGAGGAGTTTCTTCAATTCAAAAGAAGAAAAAATATTATCTTTTTTATCATCAAACCATTTAGAAAAGAAACCACAGGTGGGAATCCTGAAAGCTTGCATGAGTCAGAAAGGTCAAAAACCAATTTCTGACTTGTTGAAGACATCCTCCCGGTTCTTTGAAGTGTGATTTTTTTTTTTTCTAGTGGTATTCTTGGCTAGCCAGGCAACTTATTAGACAGTCAGACTACTTCATATGACTATTCTAAAGACTGTGTTGCCTTCTTTTTTTCTCCATTTAGATTAATGCTTGATGTGTGAAGGTTATTTTGTTTGTGTTTGGTGGTATCTCTCAGCCCCAAGATTTTCAACTTACAAGCATGCCTACCTTTGTAGATCTTCAAAACACGGTGGAAAACCCTATAATTTTTTTTTAAATGAAGGTTCTGACTCACAGGAAAAAAATCACCCAATAACATTTTAGGGTGGGGATCTGCTTTTGAATGAAAAACTGCATAATATGACATGGCCTTAATAGCGTACTTGGTAAAATTGTTAATACCTGCTAAGTCAAAAAAATATTTCTAAATAATGTATCTAGTCAAAGCATTAATTTTTATCTTGCATCTCCAAGAATCTGTCTCCCAAAATATGCAGTATATCTTGCATTCTGTGTAAAGTAAATGGAAAGAGAAGATCGAGACAAGATAAGGGGAAAATTATTTGATACCCTGCCACTTGATAACAGTCACACTTCTCGTATCAAATGGGATAGATTTTTATTCAGAAAAATTACTTTTTGGAAGGAATGGTGGGAAGGGGCATAATAAAAAAGTGTTTGTTGACAGTTACAGTCCTGATACTTCACCTAAATGCCTTACCAAAAATGGAGAAAATAAAAAAATAAATTAAGAAAATAGTAAAAAGTAACATAAAGGTAAAATCTCTTGAGATTTTTTTTTTCATATACATTAATGATATTAGAACATCTCTCTGTAACTTCTGTAGGAATCTGTATCATCCAACAGTAAACAGGATTGGGGGAATATTCAGTGCTAGACAAGAGACAGTCCAGGCAGCTGGCATTTTTGATTTAGAAACAGCCTTCCTTTTATCTGGACCTGACTGAATCAAGCTATTTTGTCTACTTGAATATCTTTTTCTGACACACACTTTTATCTTGAAGCAGAACTACACCATTCATTAATGGGGTGACATATATGACTGCAGCTTCTAATTCCAATTTTCTTTACATGAAACATTCAGAGACCAGTCCTTACTTATAATTCCTATTTCACTAAGAGTTTACCATGGAGATAAAGTTTTAGTACTCTTACTTTAGACATTCTAGGAGCAAGTTCATTATGTGCTAGTATGTTGTTGTTTTCTTGGAAAAGGATGCATCACATGTAGACCAGAAGCTGCTGTGGTATCGATTGCAAATGACCTAGTGAAACTTGGAGGGAAAATGCACACAATCCACTTCCCCCAAGAGAAAAAAAGAAAAAGAAAGCCAAAACCTACTGGA